GAGGACCTATACCATTTCAGACAAGTGACTGTCTAGCCTCTTCTTAAAACCCTCCAGTGATGGAACACCCACCATTTCTGGAGGTAAGCTGTTCCCTGGTTAATTGTCCTCACTGTCAGGAAGTTTCTCCTTAATTCCAGGTTGCTTCTCTCTTTGATCAGTTTCCAACCATTGTTTCTTGTCCTGCCCTCTGGTACTTTGGTGAATAACGTGACCCCCTCTTCTTTGTGGCAGCCCCTCAAATACTGGAACACTGGTATCATGTCTCCCCTATTTCTTCTTTTCTTTAGATTAGCCAAACCCAAGTCCCACAGCTGTTTTTCGTATGTTTTAGTCTCCAGGCCTTTGATCATCTTAGTTGCTCTTCTCTGAACTTTTTCCAAACTCTCAACATCTTTTTTGTGATATGGTGACCAAAATTGGCTGCAGTATTCCAGGTGTGGTCTTACTAGGGTTTTATAAATTGGTACTAATACTTCGCGCGATCTTGATTCTATGCCTGTTTATACAACCCAGGATTGTATTAGCTTTTCTGGCTGCTGCTGCTGGCTCATTGTCCACTAGGACTCCAAGGTCCCGCTCACAATTACTGTTTTTGAGCCAGGCCTCGCCTAATCTGTAATTTTACCTTTGATTTTTCCTGCTTAAATGTAAAACTTTGCTTTTCTCCACATTGAAACTTTGTTGGATAGGGCCCATTGTTCAAGTTTGTCAGGATCTTTTTGGATCCTGAGCTTGTCTTCTGGTGTGTTGGCTACTCCTGTCAGTTTAGTATCATCTGCAAATTTGATGAGTTCCCCTTCAATTCCCTCATCTAAGTCATTGATGAAGATATTGAAGAGTACTGGGCCTAGGACGGTACCTTGTGGTACCCCACTGGTTACTTCTCTCCATGTGAATGTAGTGCCATTGAAGACTACTCGTTGAGTACGGTTTGCCAGCCAGCTACAGATCCATTTTGACAGCGCCCAGGATAGATTCAACCTCCACATCTGAGTGCAGCTGAGTGAAGCAGAGACTTATCTTGGACTTATGTTGTGCTACCAACCTCTCGTTTCTCAAGGCCACCTCTGTCTTTCTGCACCACAGGGCACCTGCTTTTCCCAAATATGTTCCAGTGGTCATCCCAGGTAGGTGCTGGGACAACTGGAACGCTTGATCAGGAAGTCTGCATTGCGCAGGAGACAGCTTTCAATTTTATGATTCCACATAATCTCCAAATATTTTCTTTGGGGTCCTTGATGCTCTCTGAGCTGGGTGGTTTTCTTGCAGTCATTTCATGACCCTATTAGGTAAGATCATCAGTGGGTTTGCATTGATGATGTTACCTACTTGGGTCATGAAATGTCTGCAAAAAAACAACTAAGCGCAGACCCAACAGTTCTGCCGTGAACTACAAATATTCTTCTATTGGTGGTACATTTTCTTTCTACAATCTCGATCATTTTCAGATTGCTTGCCCTGATCTCTTCTTACTCATGTAATTCTAGAGCATCTTTATTATATGCAAGAGCATTGGCCATGCAATATTGATCACAGCAAGCTTTCTCTAAACTACATTAGGATTCAAAATGAAATTTTCCTCACCCACTCTCTGAATTAAGTAGAGAGAAGTTTCGATGGACCCCAAGCTGAATGATGGTCAGAAATGATTCCAAGAAATCCTGAGCTCTTTCTTCAATTCCAGAAAGTATTCCTATTTCAGAGCCGGTAAATATCCATTAGGTGACCAGAGGAACAGAAAAAGAAAATGCCAACTAGAGAGGGCAGGCTTGGATGTGTGCACATGGCCTCTAAGCCTGAATTCTAGAGATGCGTAGAAAGACAGAGGGGTACAAGAATGTGGCTCAGCCAAATGGAATTGGGGCTGTACTGAATTGTCCCCAGAAGTTATCATTTAAAGAAATGTAAATGATATCTTTCTCAAAGTCCATAATCAATGAAGGGCTCATACCATTGAAAGACCCCAGAGTGACATTGTGGCAAAATGGGCGCCAAACAAATTTAATAAATAATAAGAATATACTGATTGTGTAGAATTGCAATGATCACCAGATGCACCAAGCAATAGTTTTGTCCTTTACTGCAGAGGTCCCCAACCTTTTGGGCACCAGGAACCGGTTACGTGGAGAGAGGATTTTTTGCGGACTGGAGGGGACGTGGTTTTGTGTGCTGCCTGCTTCTTGTGGATGGGGCTTTGCTTGTTTGTGCGGACTGGTTGCTGGCATGCCGCAGCCCGGTACTGGTCCACGGACCGGGGGTTGGAGACCCCTGCTTTATTGGGATATTCTATGGGATTCAAAGCATTTACCAGGACTTGACCTCATGGAACTCAAACTTGGGACAACTATTTCCAGTGCGTTAACTTTAGGTACCATCCAGCTCCTGGAGTTCATTGGTCGCAGAAAGGGTTGTCCAGAAGCTCTATCAGAACAGATGGATACTAGAAGGCATGTCAGATGCAGGTTGCTGCCAGAGATAAATTTTACAGCAAGGCAAGATTTTGGAAGAACAAAGAAAATTGACAATAAAAATCAAGTTTGGGAGGGTAAAAGCAACAGTCTCAAAATACTTTTATATAGCCAGAGATTCCCATAATTATGTTTGCTGAAATTCCAAGCTGATATTACCATATATACTCAAAAGAAATTTAACACAGAATTTAAGATGCTTCCTGCCCACCCCTGAAAGTTAGATAGACAAAATACTGCAAGCACACATGCATGTGCATATGCACACACACATGGACACAATACGCAGACAAATCTTTCTTCACTGCTTGGTTCCTTAACCTACCTATTTAAAATTGTCCAATTTTACTGAAGTCAACCCTCAACATTTTCCTCATCTCTCTTTCCATATGTAAGTACGTATGTATGACTATATATGTCTGTCTGACTATATGTATGCATTTATATGTATGCTGTGGATATAATTTACTTGGACTTCAGTAAGCCATTTGATAAAGTAGACCACAACCTACTACTTGATAAGATAGAAAAATGTGGGTTAGACAGCATCACCACCAGATGGCTGACTGGCCCTACTCAGCATGTGGTCCTCAATGGAACCGCATCTACATGGAGGGAAGTGAGTAGTGGGGTGCCCCAGGGCTCTGTTCTGGGCCTAGTGCTCTTCAACATCTTCATCAATGATTTGGATGAGGGGATAGATGGGGAACTCATCAAATTTGCAGATGACACCAAGCTGGCAGGAATAGCCAACACTCCAGAAGACAGGCTTAGGATACAGGAGGATCTGGACAGACTTGAACATTGGGCGCTATCTAACAAAATGAAATTCAATGGTGAAAAAAGTAAGGTTCTACATTTAGGCAAGAAAAAACAAATGCAAGATGGTACCTTGCTCAATAGTAGTAACTGTGAGAGGGATCTCAAAGTCCTAGTGGACAATCACTTAAATATGAGCCAGCCGTGTGTTGCAGCTGCCAAAAAGGCCAACTCAGTGCTGGGCTGCATTAACAGAGGGATAGAATCAAGAACACTTGAAGTATTAATACCACTTTACAACCCCTTGGTAAGGCCACACTTGGAATATTGCATCCCGTTTTGGTCACCACAATGTAAAAAAGATGTTGAGACTCTAGAAAGAGTACAGAGAAGAGCAACAAAGATGATCAGGGGACTGGAGGCTAAAACATATAAGGAACGGTTCCTGGAACTCGGTATGTCTAGTTTAATGAAGAGAAGGATGAGGAGGGACATGATAGCAGTGTTCCAGTGTATCTCAGGTGTTGTCATAAAGAAGAGGGAGTCAAGCTATTCTCCAAAGTGCCTGAAGGCAGGACAAGAAGCAACGGATGGAAACTAACCAAGGAGAGAAGCAATCTAGAACTACAGAGAAATTTCCTGACAGAACAATTAACCAGTGGGACAACCTGCCTCCAGAAGCTGTGAATGTACCAACACTGGAAGTTTTTAAGAAGAGACTGGACAGCCATTTGTCTGAAGTGGTATAGGGTTTCCTGCCTGAGCAGGGGGTTGGACTAGATGACCTCCAAGGTCCCTTCCAACTTTATTATTGTTGTTGTTGTTGTTGTTGTTGTTGTTGTCTATCCTAAGGCTAGACTCCCCAGCCAGGATGAAAAATTAGTATTTATTGAATTAATAACTAAAATCAAAATCAGTTTCATGTAAATGAGAGATCATACTTGTAGAATTATTTCATTTTCTCCACTGCACATCCAAAAACTATGTCTCTCCTCTCCTTTGGCAGGAGACTCACATATATACACACACCAAAAGAGAGGCTGTGGACATTCAGACTGAGCAAGCACAAATAATTAATTAATGAAATGGCTCTTGAAAACTCAGTTGCTCTCAAAAGCAACTGGTAAAGTGAGGTAAAAATCAGATACGAGATCCTTTAGGCAGGAATTGTCTTTCCATTTTATTGGTAAAAAGGAAAAGGCTGATCGATCACAAACACTAGGAGATTGCAGGTGCTTCTTCTGCAATAAGGCCCACACAGTTTTTGGGCTTTCCTGCCAGGTGAGACTGCACTAGTCTTGTTAGTTGGCATCTGCAGGGCAGAGCCTCTTCATCCCTGGAGACCCTCTGCTAATTCCTCCATTTCATAGGGAGAGCTTTCCTGGGCAGAAGAGGCTTTCCCATCCACACATTCCCCTCGACATCTGGGCAGCCCCCACTTCCCAAGACCTCACCCCTTCCCCTGCTGCCGTTGGCCTGCCTTTAGCGGCATCCTTTTTATTAAATTCCCAGGGAAAATACTCCCCCCCCCCATTGATAGGCAGTTACTTTATCTTTCATCTAAGTAAGTCATCGTGACTTGACTAAATTAGAAGGTGAAGCTCTTCTATGAATGCAGCAGGAGGGAAGCCTAGGAGGCCGAGCTATGGGTAGCAGGACGGGCTTTGGAAACCATTCAGAACCGGCGTTCAGCAACGGAGCAAACTCTCTCAGAAGCCCCGTAATGAGGCGCTCAAGAGGGACCCAAAAAAAAGGCTCAGGCACACTTACCGTTTGGTTATCTTCATACAGCTTCAAGTCATATCCACTCAGCTCCACGCAGAAAATTATTGCTGTAACCCCCTCAAAACAATGGATCCACTTTTTGCGCTCGGATCTCTGCCCACCCACGTCCACCATTTTGAAAGTCAGCTCTTTGAAGGTAAACTTGTTCTCCACAATCCCCGTCGTCATGTCCCGGGAGCGCAAAATGTCCTCCACGGTGGGGATGTAGTCCAAGGCAGCGATCCTTTCCAGGTCGTTCAGGTAGTAGGCAGCGTTGTCCTCCAGGTGGTACTCGTTGGACCGGCGGAAGCACTCTTGCACCCCGGGGTCGGCCCAGAGCCTCTTCATGACCCCCAGCAGCTCCGGCGTGATCTCCCCTTTGCTCTCCGCAGGGCCTGTCAAAGCAAAGAGCTGCACGGCATCGTAGGCGCGGTCGGGGTTGTGGAACTCGATTTTCAGGGATGCCAGGGCGCGGATGATGCGGGTGAGAGAGTCGATGGCATTGTAGATAATCAAGGGCTTGTATTCCTTGCAAGCTTCCAAATTAAAGCCGCCGCTGTGAATGATTTTCATTTGTTTGACAATGGTACTTTTGCCGGAGTTGCTGGTGCCCAGGAGGAGGAGCTTGATTTCCCGCCGCTGCCGCTGACTCTCAGAGCGCAGGTGGCGGTCAATCCTTCGGGACCGCCGCGCTGCCTCTTTCTCCTCTGAACTTTGCCGACATCCCATGGTACAGCGGAGGCGAGCAGGAGAGGCCACCTGAGACTCTCTGAAGAGGAGCTCCGGGAATCGGGTCTCAAGGGGACAGACAGCTGGGCGGTAGCTGAGAAGGTTCCTCCAAAACGCCCCTCCACCAGCAGCTCCGTCTCTCCCAGCTGGGGTGCAGAATTCGAATGTGTCACCAGCAATTACAGTCCACCATTGCAGCAGATCTCAAGGTACTCTCGCTTGGGGAAATAAACAGTTGCACATTCCAGTAAGGAATGAAAGAGTCAGATCTCTTTCTCTCCTTGGCCTGCCCTTCTTCTCCAGCATAGTTCTGTCATCCTGTACACAAGGAATCAACGCACGTCAGCTGGATATGCTTCGGTCTGCTATGGATGGTCCAGCTGCTCTTGCAAGTGGCCCTCAGGTGCAGACGAAGCCCTGGGAAACCATGGTGCTGCATGCATTTGGCTTCTCGGGCAATTCTTTAGGGCCGACGTCACGTTTGGGGACAGGACTCAGTAGTCTCCACCTGCAAAAAGAAGGAAAAATAAATAAGCTCAATTGTTGGCTCTTTCTGTGTTCCTAAAGACCTTATTCTCCTCGTCCTGTGACCTGAATGGAAGAGGGGTAATTGTGGGACTGCCCATTGAGGAGAAGAGGGTTCGTGCTGGGAATATGTGCCCAGCCCAGCCCAACAGGGAGCAAGGCTCCTGATCTTTCCATTTTGTGGCAAAAGCAGATGTGTTATTCCTGACCTTCTTCCTCCCTGACCAGCTTCTCTCCAGGAGGAGTGCAGACAGGAGAAGAGGTAGAAGTCGAACGGTTCTGACTGGCCAAGAGCACCTCTAGGCATAAGCAGAGCATTCTTAATATTTTGGGACTTCTGCATTTTTTGGCATTTATGAATCACTGATCGACATTTATAAATCTATGATTTACAGCATCGGGCTCTGCGACAAGCTGGCCAAAGGACAAACCCTCGTGATTCTGATGCTTCTTCCATCATGTAAGAACTAGGCAAGGACAACGCAACCCGCATCTCTGCAACAGTGGGACAAATGCGAGAAGCAAGAGATTGTGACTTTTAAACAGCAAGATCTTAAGCTTTGAGAAAGATCTACTTTTAAATAACACAACCCCAATGTCAGGTGCAAAAGACCAGGTCCACATGTGAAGATCCTACTGAACTGATTTATTGTTACTCATGCCCACACACAGGAATTTTCTGAACTAACATTTGGCACCTTCTTGGAGTGAGATACGGGTCAACGTAATTCAAAAGAGGTTGGTTGGACTTTGTGGTTACGTAGGAATTCTAAGCTGATGCCTCTTTTAACTTTGCTCCCAGGTTCTGCCATTCCTTCTCCTACACGCAGATTGCTTCTTTTATCAATTCAGAATAGCCCTCCCAATCTGGCTGCCCAAGGCAGTACATTAGGACTAGGTCCAGGGCAGCTCTGCCTTCTTGCTCACCCTCCCCTTTCTGGGTTCAATGTGCTGCTGGATTCCTCCACCCATAAGTGCTTCCAGGACAGGATTTGACTGTGCTGCTTCCTCCTCCAACACACAGACCTCCCTCCACACAGCCACAGCTGCTTCTTTCCATTTCCCATACACACCTGCACACATTCAGATACAAACAATTCAGAAGAACTGCTACCACCTGGAAGGATCTCCTCATTTTCAGCTGCAGGGCCCAAGCAGGACTGGAAACCTTGACTGACCTTCACCCCATTTTTCCTCCTCCGCCCCACCCCATCCTTTGGCTTCTAGCACAAAGATTCAGAGAACCGTCATTACCAATGGGGATTCCCTGAAGGAGCAAAGACCCCCAGCCCCATCACATGATAGCAATAGCAGTAGCACTATAAAGAGTTCTATACCACCCCATAGTGTTTTACGGCCCTCTCTAAGTGGTTTACAGAGTCAGCATATGGACCCCAACATTCATTTTACCGACCTCGGAAGGATGGAAGGCTGACTCAACATCGAGCCCTGACAGGATCGGACTCCAGGCTGTGGGCAGAGTCAGCCTGCCATGCTGCATTCTAACCACTGCGCCACCACCACTCCTTATGGAGACACGGGGCCTGGTGTCCGTCTCCCTCTTACTTTATTGGGGGGGATGCCTCTGCATGCCAACCAGTTTCACAAAAATTAATGAGCCAATTTCAAATTCAGTAGTATGACTGAAAAAAATAATTAAGGTTGAATCAATGGGGGGGGGACATTTGTGTATCACACTGACTATGATTGGGATTCAGCAAGATCAAATTACAGAATGTAAAGATTTTAGTTTGAAGACCATCTGGTCCAATCCATTCCTATAGCATCCCCAACAAAGGGCCACCCAGCACCCGTTCAAAGCCTTCCGTCAAAGAAGCATCATCACCTTCTGTCAGCCTTCCTAGCCAAACCAGACAGGAAGCACAACCTGATGAGCTAAAGCTCCTTTACTGTAAGGCTGCATTAACAAAACCTTGCAAGTCTGAAGACAGAAGCCTCCCTCGGCCACAAAAGTACTCGATCCATTAGTGCAGATCCATTTCTAAGTTTCTTCCTCTGTCCATTTAGCCCAGTGGTTCTCAACCTTTTAAATGCCGCGACCCCAACCGGTCGTAAGTCAAGGACTTTCCCTGCCCGGGAGCGCCGTGCATGCGTGGTTCCGCCCCCTGCGCCGGCCGAGGCGTAGCTGGCAAGCGGCAGAGACGGAGCAGGCCGACCACCAGCTGGCCCAGCCCAAGGGAGGTAAGGCACCCGCCAGAAAAGGGAGAAAAAAATGGCGGACAAAAAAAATGGCAGACAAAAAAATGGCGGACAGCCTTGCTTGGCGACCCCGTGAAATGGTCGATCGACCCCAAATGGGGTCCCGACCCACAGGTTGAGAACCACTGATTTAGCCACTAGGGACTCCGGCCTCTGTTGTCTGATTGCTTCCTAGGCAGCTTCTCCTCCCCTCCTCCCCCAAGGTCACCCACACAGTCCATTACACCTCCCAAGGTAATCTGTTCCATACTGAACAACTCAGTTAGGATTTTTTTTCTGAAACCAAAATCTATTTCTGTATGGTTTAAATCCATTGTCCTCTCTTCTGCAAGAACTTGGAAGACTGCTGCTCCATCTTCTATTCAAGGCCACTCCTGGTCTTCCCCCAATTAAGCCTATGGGATGCCTCCAACTGTTCCTCTGCATTTTCCTCCTTCCCGATACTGGTACTGTATCATCTTGGTGGTCCCTTCTGGACACCCTCTAGTGTGGGGAGTGTTCTTCCCAGAATGACCTGCACACAGCCTACTAAGTCCAGTCTGACCAAGGCAGAGAGAGAAGAACTAGAACTTCCCTTGATCTTAGAACAGAATAATAGAAAAATGGGGTTGGAAGGGAGCCAGCACTACACTTGTTATCGTTGGGGCTGTGTCGCCCTGGTGATTCGCCCTGTATTGCTGACCAAGATGGCTCCCCTCAGCCGGTATTCACATCTGTGATTATCCCTGGCCACCCGAAGGACTTTCCATCTGTCCCTGTTGAATATATCTTGCCAATTTCTTCCCATTGTTTGTGCTTCTCCAGATTCCCCTGAATATTTATACCATCCTATAGTATTTTGCCATCTCTATCTTTGTGTCAGTAGCAATTTTTACACTATTTTCTAAGTGTTGACTCCTGGCAACTATCCAGACAAATCCCTGCAGTTCTCTTGGCAAGGTTTTTGGGAAGTGGTTTGCCATTTCCTTCTTCCTAAGGGAGGGACTGGCCCAAGGTCACCCAGCTGGCTTTGTGCCTAAGGCAGGACTAGAACTCCCAGTTCCGCCGACCCAGCCCCATTCCTGGCCTGGCAACCCTCCATCCCTCGCTAGAGGTTGAGGAGCACAGCGCCTAGAAGAGCACTTCGTTTCATGCCACGCCCCACTTCCTCCAGCCTGACCCAGAGCCCTGGGTGTGCTGGGTGCCACTGTCCAGGCCACTCTTGGTCTTTTGCTCTACCAGACTCTCCTGGGAGAAGCTGCCAGATGCTTTCTTGGTTCATTCCCCTGGTCAACTATACTGATTTTGCTACTAAAAATGAGGTCTTTTGAGCGACATTGATCCGTGGTTAACGAGCTCCTCTTTCCCCCCCTTACTGAAGAGAAGAACAACGGCTGCCCTTGCCCAGCCACCTGGCATTGCCCCATCCTCCATGATGCATGAACCCCACCATTATATGATAAAAATCCCGACTTGTAGTTTACGGCAAAGAATGACTACCGTAATTGCTTTTAATAAATCCTGGTTAAAACCAGGGTGTTCAAAATGGGTTAGGGTTAGAGATCTTGGGTGTGGCCCAGTGCCCCTTTTAAAATGCCCTCCAGAATATATGGGAATAAAATTACGAATAGATTTAATTCACATCAACCCCATTTTCACCCCCTTTCCTCAATGCCATTCCCAGCCTGCCAGTCAGCAGCTCAGTAATGGAAGCCCTTTCAAACCCCCTGAGAGTTGAAGGAAAAGAGTCCCTTAAGCTGGACATCCTAGACCAGGGGTGTCAAACTGCTGTCCTGCAGGCTGGTTGCATCATACGGAGACCGGGCCCACCCCAGCTCCAGCAATGTAAAAAACGTCCCAATACGTCGCAACACGTCATGTGATGTGGTGAGTTGACACCTATGCCCTAGACACTGGAATGCAGAGGAGAGCAAGAGGCTAGACCAGGGATCCCCAACCCCCGGTCCGTGGACTGGTACCAGGTCGCACCATGCCAGCAACCGGTCCGCACAAACAAGCGAAGCCCCATCCGTGGGATACAGGCACCAGACAAAACCACGCACTCTCCGGTCTGTGGAAAAAACCTTTCTCCACAGAACCAAGAGGGACCTCTGGGCTAGACCATAGGATGAACAGCTGAGGGAACTAGGTATGTCTAGCCCAGGGGTAGGCAACCTCGGCTCTTTTATGACTCATGGACTTCAACTCCCAGAATTCCTGAGCCAGCATAGCTGGCTCAGGAATTCTGGGAGTTGAAGTCCATGAGTCATAAAAGA